CAAAAGATGAATACAAGCCACTTTTGACTTCTGCAATTACAAGAGGTGCTCAAAGTGGTTACCATCAGCGCCCAGACACTTCTGATTATGGTGAATTACTGCTTGAGACATGTTGACCAAAATGTCCACGTGTATACATTTTTTTGGCACCCCTGGTATATATGGAGGTCTGTTTGCAAATTTAGAGGTTATCAACTGATGGAAAATCTAAATGTCCTTTGACCTTTGGTTTCCTAGAAACATGTCTGTCTGCTCTTAAGTGTGTGTTCTTAACAAAACCCAACCATATGCACATACATGAGTTTGTTTGGTTTTTTTTTCCTTCAGGGGAAGATAGTTCATCAAAGTTTAAATATTATGAACTCCTTCTCACAGAAGGTAAAGATACAGCAAATACGATCTTTGTCAGAAGATGTGCGGTTTTACTACAAACGATTACGGGGCAATAAGGAAGACTTGGAGCCAGGGAAAAAATCAAAGGTTAGAAGTGTTCTGTTTGAGAACTGCCATTGATGAGTGTTTGTTATTTTACCTTCTGTGGACTTGGGACTCATGATTCTCCTGTGCCTCCTCACAGATTGCAAACATTTATTTTGACCCTGGACTGCAGTGTGGGGATCACTGCTATGTTGGCTTGCCTTTTCTGTCCAAATGTAAGTGACCTTGCTATTCTTTCTCATGCCCTTCACTCCCCCAAAATATTCTTTAGTGAACGGCTGCCACATTTAAAGTCCGTCACTAGCTCTCGGGCTGTAGAAATCATTTGAAGGAAAATGGATGAGCGGATATGATGTAGGGGTGGGTATGTCGTAACTTATGTTCCGTGTTTTAGCTGAACCCAAGGTGCCGCTGGGCATGGCAATGCAAGAGGAGATGTGGGATGCTGACTGGGATCTGCATCAAAGCCTGTTCAAAGGATGGTTGGGAATAAAGGAAAACTCAGGTCATAGGTGAGAGGTTTCACTTTAAATATTTTAGCTGTCTTTACAAGTTCATTGGTACTTCCTAAATATTATTCTATGTGAGCTTACTTTATATCACTATAGCTAAGAAAATATGCCTAAACTTCAGAAAATTATTCAGGAGACATCTTGAATTGCCATTTTAATTGTATATTGTTCAGAAATATACACGCTACCATTTTCCTCTTTTCTCCATCCCCCAGGTACTTCCTTAAAAGTCAAAGAAACTATTTGAAGTTGTCTGTATGTAGGATGATAAGAGTGTTCACCTTAGACATAGCCATTTGCATAAGAAAGAAAGTTTTTACCTACCACTGGCCTCTGTTAAAGCCAAGGAAACTGTTTAATCCCATATAGAAGGCCGAGTGTGTGTGTATTTGTTCCTGTGGAAAGAGCCGCCTTCTCCCTCCTCCAGAGTTGAGCTTAGGAGGTGCAGGGCCCTGGTGTAGATGGACTCGACCATATCCTTGAAGGTAGAAAACCTGCTAATGACATGTCACTGCTGACTGAACCTCGACTGAAGAGCAGCCAGTATAGAGATGTGATCTTGTCATGCACTTCAGGAGAGAATCTGAGCAGAGTGATGATGTGACAGCTGATGAGAACCGCTCTTCTCATCTGGCCCATCAGAAATGTATTTGTCAGTATCATCAAGATTCTGCACTTTATACACATAAAAATTTCAAACCGTTAACAGTTAAAGCTGAGGGTTTCTGTTTTTCTGAACTGTGCTGTGAAAAGTTTTCTTAAGGCAAAGAGAGTGAAATTTCTTATTTAAAATGGTTAAAATAAGTACAGAGAGACTTTCTGTAATGAAGTCACTAAGAGAACAGTAATGAAAGCACTCCTTGGTCCCCTGCATTTCCATAGTGGGCATTATAATGTGCAGGCAATCTCCAAATGTTAACGTCAGTTAGGAATAAGTCACATGTAATGCCACCCTTGGCTCAGCTGCCAGGGCCTTCCTCACCACCCACACCAAAACCACTGCCTTCTCTGTGCGCCCAGCGTCCATCTGCCCTGGTCCCTCAGATCCCCACTGTACAATGAATGGGGCATTCTCGCTGCTCCTGCCTGAGCTGCCTTGTCTGTGGGTTCAGAGACACTCGTCTTATAAAACCTATACTCCTGTCAATTAACGTATCATAATGCAGTAGTGTTAGGGGTTAAAATAGGCTTCGGTGTTTGGGCCCAGGGACCTGAGCCCCCTTTATAGTATTGTTTCCTTAGGAACTGTGTTCTGAGTTCTAAGCAGCTGGTTTGTCAACACTCATAAGTAGGAAAATACTCAGCAGAGGTCCTGAATAGTGCAGCAAACTTGACACATATCTGCCCCAATCCTCTTACATGTTAACCTCCTCAGCTGACAACTCCACTGCATATCAGTACTTGGTTTTGTTTTTATCTCAAGGGGGGAAAGCCATATGCCAAGCAATGCAGGGCCTTCTCATTAGTTCTCCTGAAAATGTTCTCAGCACCCTGCTGTGGGTGTCTAGATCTTTCCACAAGGCATGCAGGGTCCTTTAGGGCCCCCAAAATGTCGACTCTGTGTATGCATGCCTTTTTCTTTACATATTCAGTGTGAAAACAATACAGGTGATCAGTGATACATTTTTTGGCATTGTTTTGTTACAGAATAGAGTGTTTACTAAAAGCACAGTAAAATATTAGAGCAAGCAAACCTGTGTTTATTCAGGATAGAATAAAATTTCTCAAGTACGCAAAACTAATAGAACTTCCTGTTTTCAGAAAACTCCAATATTTCATTTTGATACAGTGACTTACCAATTGTTTTTTCTAGATTGAGCGCTTTATTTGAAGTAAATACAGACCTTCAAAAAAACATACTGTCGAAAGTCAGCGCCGAGCTCTCCTGGCCTTCCATACTTAGCTCGCCCCGGCGCTTGAACTTCCCACTCACAAACACAAACTGTTCCTCAGTGAGTATGCAAAGTGGCGTCAGGTTTTGGAAATAGTAGGATTGTGAAAGTCTACTCCTACTTTTAACTGTGGAAATCTTTCCTTTCCTGTTTCCTTACTTTGTTTAAGGAAGAAGAGATTACTTTAGAAAACCCTGCAGATGTTCCTGTTTATGTTCAATTTATTCCTCTGGCTTTATATTCCAACCCTTCAGTCTTCGTTGATAAGTTAATGTCAAGGTAAGCATTGCTTTAGGTAATCAAATGTTCCTACATTAGCATTGAATTATTATTTTACATGTTTAAGACTCTATTGCAGATAATACCTAATCGATTTGGCTTAAAGAAATCCTAGATCTGGAATGAAAGTTGAGAGCGGTTTCTGGGAAGAGAGATTGATATTATGTTAAGCATCTAGAAAAGCTTTCAATTTAAGACAAAAAACATAATGTAGAACTTCTTCCTACAAAATTATAAAGAGAAAGCAATTGTGACCTTTCAAATATTTTAGTTTTAAAAAGTGAACAAAATCTTAACTCTAAGCTGTGGACATCAATTTTTTGAAGGTTACTAATCTGATAATAATCTCAAATGTGCCAGAAAGATAATTTGCAAACAAAGCACAGACTTGATAATGCCTCTGTAACCCCTTTGATTATGATGCTGCTCACAGAGAAGCACATGTCTATTTTTATTTTAGGTTTAACTTGAGTAAAGTGGCCAAGATAGATTTAAGAACACTAGAATTCCAAGTCTTCAGAAACAGTGTAAGTATTCAAACTTCGTACCATTCCACAGAAATAATTCAGTATATGATCAGGGCTCGTGTGAAGGAAAACTATTGGCTGCCCTTAAATTTGGCTGAAGGGCAAGTTCCTGCAGAAGTCAGAGTAGTCCAGTAGTGGTTCTAGAGGGAACAGCCCAGGCAGAGAGGTGGGACTTAGATCAACATGAGGCATGTTGGGTAGGATGTTCCTATTTGCAGGCATTAAAATTCAGCCGTTGACTGAATAATAACAGCTACCAGACACTCGGAGACTATGTAGATGAGATGTGTGTGTGTGCTACGTGCTGTGACTCCTGGTGACCCCACGAATGAGTGACGTCCACAGTGTCCCGTCCCAACAGCCCTGCTCAGCTCCTGGAGACTCAGCCTCTGGCTTCTTTTGTGGAGTCATCCATCCCATGTTTGGCTTTCCTCTTTCCTCTGCCTCCTGTTTTCCCAGCATTCTTGTCTTTTCCAGAGAACCCGGCCTTGTCACGATGTGCCCAAAGTAGGACCGCTTCAGTTTTGTCACTTTGCCTCCAGCCGTGTCCCAGGCTTAGTTTGCTCTGACGTACTAGTGCGTCTTTGTGGAGGTCCAGGGTGTCCCAGCGCTCTCCCCCAGTGCTGAATTTCAAATGAATCGTTTTTTTCCTCTCAGCCTCTTCTTCACTGTCCAGCTTTCACTTCCGTACATAGGAATTGGGAACACGAGGGGGTGGCTGGTCTTAGCTTGGTCCCTAATGACACATCTGTGCTCTTGGTCATCTTTCCTAGTTCTTCCACTGCTGTCCGTCCCAGCCTCAGCCTTCTCGTGATTTCTTGGCTGCATCTCATGGAATCGGTGACAGAACCAGCAAAATCTTTAACAATTTCAGTATCTTTATTTGTGATAAAGTGGTGTATTTTTTCTGTAGTCATCGTTCTTGTCCTCTTAAGGTTCAAACGCAGCCCTGCTTTGGCACTTGCTTTTTCCACTTAAATCGAAAGTCACTTCAAATCCTTACAACTTTCTGCCAGTGAATTGGTGCCAGTTATGGCTATTTCTTCCACCAGTTTTCCCTCCTCCTTCCCCTAAGTCTCGCCCAGTTTTCATATGATTTGTTCTGCATACAGATTAAACATTAGGGAGATAAAAATGTACCCTTGTCTGACACCTTTGTAGGAAACCATTGTCTCTCCATATTCTGACCTAACAGTGGCTTCTTGTCCACAATACAGGTTACACATCAGGACAGTGAAAAATATACTAATACATCATTTACTTTTATTAAACCTCAAAATATTGAGCTTGGTCATTTAAGTTTTTATTGGATACTTTCTAATAAAATTGTAAGCCCCATGAATGCCAGACCCATGGCTGGCTATATCCATATTTAGCATAGTAGCATGCTTCGTTTATACTCAGGGAGTGTTACTGAATTAATAAATGTATATACACTCCTGTCCTATCATGCAGGCCAAGGGCCAGGGTGGGCAGCCACTGAGCACTCGTTTTATAAGGCCCTAATGAGTGTGTATCAGTCAGGAAATGAGCTCTTAGAACCAAAGCCACCTGCACACTGGTTCAGGTCTCCTGGCCTCACGCCACATCCTCATCCATCTTGAACCTCCTGTTCGTGTTCCCTGCTGGCTGGGAAGCCTTCACTGAGAGGCTGTCTTCACTCTCCCTTACCCTTCCTTTACACCCACGTTGACCTGGTTTTTTGTTTTCTTTTTGATGTAAAAAACCTTATTTCCCAAATCTGGGTGTAAGCTCCTTGAGGGCTTATCTTCTATTTATCTTATTTCCTTCCCATATTAATAATATGAAAGGTGTTGAATGAATGAGAGTAGGAATCCAGTTAACCCTCCATCATCTGAGTTACTTTAAGTGAAAACAACTAATGATCCCTTTCTTCCTCTCCTTGTTGTGGGCTCTTGCTGGACCTGGGTCACAGGGTCACAGTCATCACAGGTCACAGTTGTCACGCACAGCAGGATGCTTTCCTGCCTGCAGTAGCTGTGCTTCTTCCCACTTGAAACAAGGGACGTTGGCTCCTATAATAATCACAGCTTTGTACCTACTAGCTTTGTCGCCTTGGTCAAATAAATAAACCTTCCTTAATTTCAGCTTCTTCTCTCATAATGTGAAGTTGATAATATGGAATTTACGGAGTTGTTGAACAGTTTAAACAAACTCTACAGAAGCCCTTAGGTTTGTTCCTTGGCATATAGGAAGCCTCAATGAATGTTGCCTGGGTAAGTCAATCTGTGGCTAACTAGGCCAAGAAAGAAAGGCAGTGGGAAGGTTTTCAGTATTTCAGGGCTGTAATGAAGAACTCTTCCCAGAATTTCATGAGCACCTAGTATGTGTCAGTATTGTGCCAGGTGTATTCACATTTTTAATTTGTGCAATGATCATAGCAGCCGGGCTAAGCAGTTACTGACCACCCTAAGAGAGAAGTGTTTTCCCTTGTTCTGTTGGTGGGGAAACAGCTCAGGAAGTAACTTGCCGAAGCCCGTACATGTAGCAAGGGGCAGGACCAAATGCAGGCCCAGCTCTCATATCCCGGAGCCCTTGTCCACACCGTCATGTCACATGGTCACTGTTGATTAGGTAGCACTAGTTAGCCTGTCAAGCCAGATGTTTTACAGTTCTTGAAATAGCTTTTTCTTCCCCATAGCTTTGTGTTTTAATCTATAAGACATGTTACCCAAACCTTTATAGAATAGTTTTTATAAGTCTATCTTTAAGTCAGTCTTGTATGAGAACATAATTTTAAGTGTTGTATTTTTTCTACCAAGTAACAGAACACTAGGCTGAAATTTAGACAGTCATATATTCCAGCCTCGTGCCCTTCTCTTGGAATCTTTTTGTATTTTGCTTTTTCCATCCATAAAATGCCAACGTAATAAACTCAAACTTTTCTAGAAATCCAGATAACTAGAAAGCACTATAAGCAGAAATTCTTCTCTCTGCTTTTATATGGGAGGAAGTTCACGTAAGAAGTTAAAGGAGCTAATATTTGCCTTTTTTATCTTACTGAATAATAGTATTTACAAGATGCAAAACACTAGTGGTATTTACAAGATGCAAAACACTGAAGTATAATAGGTGCTGAGAGATAGGGAGGTGAGTAAGAACACTCTAGACCTCAGAAGTTACTCTAAGTAAGAAATTCTGGGGGAGGTCTTAGGGTGAGCTTAGGGTAAATTCTGTCACAGTTCCCTGCAATGCTGTGAAGCTGTGCTTCTCAAAATGGCCCCGGGGCTCCTTTTTAGTCTTAAAAGTTATTAAGGACACCAAAGAGGTTTTTAGTTTATGTGGGTTACACCTATCAATATGTACCACATTAGAAATCAACAGAGAGCTTTAAAATAATAATAATAAACCTATTTTATTTAACACAGATAACATAAAAATGAAAAATAGCTTTATTTTCCCAAAACAACATTTTTCAAGAAAAGTAGATTCTTTTACATTTTTACGAATCTCTTTAATGGCTCTCTGACTTAATACACAGAGAGTTTCTCATATCTGTTTCTACATTCAATCTCATGATACATTGTTTGGGCTGAAGGAGATGATAAATATCTGATCCGACCTGACAGAGACATGTAGTTGTGAAAAGGAGTATCTTAATTGCCTTTTGAATTCATTATAACATCTGCACCAGTCATTTGGAAATTATTCATTCACCGAGATACGCTCAGCTTCCAAACGCTCACACAGCTCACTCCTACAACATCCAAAAAATCATGTTCACTAATACAACCACCAGTGTCTCATCAGGGAATTCTTTATTGAACAGATTCTGTCGACTCAGAGGGTGGATACATGTTTCCCCAAATCCTAAATTCTGCTCACATGGTCAAATTTTATCATTGGCAACAAATACTTCAATTGTTTTCCTTAAACGGACAGATGTACTTTATTTTCATGAACCGGTCTACCAAATACCCCCATCAAAATAACCATAAGTTTCCTGTCAGTTGTTTTCTCAATTGTAAATGGGGTTCAGTGAGAAAAGGAGTGAGTTGGGTTGCATCTCACACAACAGCTTCTCCAACCACACGGGGACCACATGGGGACAACATGGTACCCCAGTGGCAGCAGGAACGCTTTCTGCGCACATCTGTCTCGTCACAGTGTTCAGAAGACTTGGGCCCCGGGGCTGAAGTTAATAGGATTCACAGTTATACTGTTTAGTCCAGAATTTAGTTCTCCCAGCTGCAAGTGTGTGCGGTGAAGAAGATAGGCTTCCCAGGGAGTCTGGTGGCACTGCCCTGCTTCATGCCCTTCAAAGAGCCAGCGCTGCTTTTGCAGAGCACCAGTGCCAATGTCAGCACACAGGAAAAAACATAGCATCTGTCAGTGCTAAGCAAGAAGTTCTGACACCAACACTGTGGATGCCCTGAAAAGACCACCGGTCCCGGGGTCAGCTGGTCACCCTGTGAAACACCACCTAAAAATGACGGTGCATCACTGAGGCCCTAGTGCTGTCCCTGAGGCATCACAACATCCTCGAGTGTTTCCCGCCATCAGAGTGCAGATAACTGATGTTTGAGGGGAGTGTGTGTATGGTCTGTGATTGGTCCGTCAGTTGCTCAGAGAAGTTTACTTAAAAGGAAGCTTCCTTACCCACCAGTTTAAGAGCAGAGTAGCCTGTCATCCTAGCAGACACTGACAGAAAAGAATGTTAGACATGGGGAAATTTGCCTCAGAAGCAGGCATTAAAAAGCCGTGTGTTGGGCTGGCCAAGTGGCTCAGTTGGTGAAGAGCGCAAGCTCTGAGCAACAGGGTTGCCGGTTCGACTCCTGCATGGGATGGTGGGCTACACCCACCCACAACTAGATTGAACATGGTGCCTTGAGCTGAGCTGCCGATGGGCGGCTGGATGGTTCAGTGGTTAGAGCGTGCTCTCTTAGCAACAAAGTTGCCAGTTCAACTCCCGCTTAGGATGGTAGGCTATGCCCACCAAAACTAAGATTGAACATGGCACCTTGAGCTGAGCAGCCACTAGTTGCCGGCGGGCGGCCAGATGGCGACAGGACTTGGAGCTGAGCTAGCTGCACCCTCCACAACTAAAATTGAAGGACAACAATTTGGCTGTTCCCCTTCCCCAATTCCCCAATAAAATCTTAAAAAAAAAAATCCGTGTCCTGCACTGTCTAAGTTACATTTGCAGAAGCATGCCAGTGCAGGGAGGAGACCCCTGTGTCCTAAACCTCACCGGGCCGAGGGGCACAGGACGTCCTGCCAAGCCCACTGTCCCTCCCGTCAGCATCAACAGCCGAGCGGTGCCAACCCTTTCCACACGAAGTTTGAACTTAATGTTGCTTCAAAGTATTCTTAAGTGTGAACTGTGATTTTCTTTTTTTAAATAATAGGTAACTGGCTGTCAAGAAGTCAATATCTTGATTATTAAACTAAGCTATTGTTTAAACTTGAAATCTTCGTGTGTTTATGAAACAGTTATGTGCTTAGCTTTCAAAATAAAATTCAAAGATAGATTAATACGAATTGGAAATATTTTTACAAATAAAAAATATGATGGAGCCTAAGACCCTTCAGCTGACTTCCTGCAGAGGGAGGAGCAGGAAGGCAGTGAATGTAGCAGGGACAGCACCTGTTGGCTCCAGTGGCTGGGTGCTGGTTACACAGCTGTTTGTTTTGTGCTAAGACGTTGAACTATTCATCTTAGGTTTATGTCCATTTCTGCATGTGCTATATTTCAAAACTAAAAAATCTGTATTTAAAAACAAATGCCTAGTAGAAACATGAAGACTTTAGACCCCTGTCCCTTTCAGTGTCCTGAGGAACAATGCAGAATATGAAGTGTCCTCACTAGTTGCCCAGCTCTGCTTATCAGCTAACTGATGCCCAAATCATGAGAGAGAAAATTGTTTACATACTTAATCAGTTCAAGAAACTAGTAATACTGGGCTATGGGTGGGGTACAGGAAACGACATTGGTCCAGAGACTGTAGTAATGACTCCCGTTTGTTTACCTGATGATCCAAGGCTCACCCACTGCAGAGTTCAGCAGGATTTACAGAGGGCCTCTCTCGACATTTAATTGTAAACCTAATTCTAAAACCTGGAGAAAAGAAGTTTGTCAAAGTAAAGTTTACCCCGATGCACAACAGAACTGTTTCTTCCCTAATCATAATCAGGTATGTTCTGCAATTTCAGTGGGGGTGTTTTGTAGTACTCACATAGAAGTTTAATATGAGTTTGCACATTTAACTTATGAAAAAGGCTTTTTACTTTGTCCAGAATACACGCATGCGCACGCCATGCCTGATGGAAGGTGCCATTGTGGATATGTCTACAGCTAAAACCCTGAATAGTGTCTTACTATGCCATGTGACTCTTGAAAATTGAGCAACTCTTGCTTGTCTCTGTGTACATGTTTTTTAAATGCTCAGTGTAAATGTCTCTTAAATTTAGTGTATTAATTTCTACATGGTGGTTTATAAAATAACGGTAAAAATTATAGATCAAAAGAACACGCAAATTTAATAGGAGAAAAATCTGTAATTTTTGTTCTTGCATAGAAATAACCTGACTGTGATGGATGCTGTGATGGTCCAAGGACAAGGAACAACCGAGAACCTGAGGGTGGCAGGCAAGCTTCCAGGTCCAGGGAGTTCCCTACGCTTTAAAATCACAGAAGCATTACTAAAAGATTGTACAGAGAGTGAGTATCCCTGACATGTCCAAGGGTACAATTTTCCACATTTGTTTTCAACAAATCATTCCAAATACAAGAACAGTATCTGTCTGTGTATGTGCACGTGGATATATTAGTGATGACAACCTAAGATTTTTAAGGCAACTCCCTGACTTGCTTTCAGGGTTGTTTGCTTCGGACCTTAAAAGATTAAAATATCAGTATTTATTGTGTGCCATAAATGTTGTACTCTGAGTGTGAAAGATACAGCATAATCAGACTTTTGCCATCTCATATGACATGCAGAGTGGAGCACTTCTTGCTACAACCCAGGTAAAGCTGACCTCTGCCATGAGAAAGCAGTCTGTAGTCTCCAGCACACATTTGTGAGGGATGTGTTAGAATTTGGACCTGGTGCACATGGTCACAAGATTTACACTCACTCCACATTTGTTTCCTCCAGGTTTGAAACTAAGAGAGCCAAATTTCACATTGAAAAGAACATTTAAAGTAGAGAATACAGGACAACTTCCAATTCACATAGAAACCATTGAAGTCAGTGGGTACTCCTGTGAGGGGTATGGCTTTAAAGTTGTTAACTGTCAAGAGTTTGCACTGAGCGCCAATGCCTCGAAAGACTTAATTATATTGTAAGTATTTTCTTACAGGTCTAATGAATCACTAGCTTCTTGTTAACTTTTTATACTAGAGTTGTTCAGACTCCATGCAAGTATATTTTCATACCAAAAACGGTTTTTACCCACAAATGTATTTACTTGATTTTTTTTTTCACTTAATCTTTGGTTATTTCTCTATATTTTTGTTTTCAAAATTGTGTAACTTCCTCTGTCTCTGAAGTGGATCAGATAATCTTAGAAACCAGTTTCAAAATTGTTTTCCAAGTTGTGCTGTTGGCAGGAAATGCGCTGTAAATTCACAGTCTCAGCAACAGAGCCAACACTGTATCCCACGTGCAGTTTTCCATGTGGTTGAGTTACGGAGGTGTGATAGTTGGTCTGAGACAATTATAATACCTGTGTTGGTAATCGCTGCAGCCTATTTCAACAACTATTGGGTCTTCGGAAAAGTCATCACGTATTTTGTCTATGTTTTTCAAAGGTCACTTGTTTATATAAAGAACAAAGATCAATCAATGATATATTGCCCATTTTGTTCGATAACCTTTGCCATCTTTCAGTGAGCTTCATAATTCCTCGTTCATAAAAGGACCTGTCTTTATTTGTGAAAAACTCAACAAGGTGCTGATTTACAGCCTCATCTGAATTGAACATTATACCACCCAAGGCGTTTTGAAGAGAGCAAAACAAGTGGAAGTCTGACAGCTCAAGGCCAGGCGAGTATGGTGGGTGTGGCAACACATCCCATCCAAGCTCCAGTAATTTTTGACGGGTGATCAAACTTGTGTGTGGTCTCGCGTTGTTGCGATGGAACACAACTCCTTTACAATTAACAAGTTCTGGACGTTTCTGGATGATGGATTCATACAAACTGTGCAATTGCCAACAGTACACATTTGAATTGATTGTTTGGTTCCTTGGTAGGAGCTCGAAAAACACACCTTTAAAATCCCACCACACTGAGAGCATAACTTTCCTCTGATGAATGTCTGCTTTCAGTGTCGTTTGAGGCGAATCATCACATTGGGACCAAGACTGTTTGCACACCACATTGTTGTAAACAATCCACTTCTCATCACCAGTTATCAGTCGCTTCAGAAAAGGATTGTTTTCCTCATGTTTAATGAGCATATTGCAAATGTTTATACGTGCTGTCAAATGAACTACTTTGAGTTCATGCAGAACCCAAATATTGAGCTTGCTTATGTATCCCAGCTTCTTCAGGTGGTCATGAACGCTTGAATGATGGACGTTCAATGTTTCTGCAATCTCTCGTGTCGTGTAACCTGGGTTTGACTCAATCAATGCCTTTATTTTGTCGTCATCAATCTCGGTGGGCCTCCCTGACCGAGGAGCATCCTTGAGATCAAAATCACCAGCACAGAATTTCATGAGCCATTGTTGACACTGAAGTTCCTGTAGAGCATGGTCCCATAAACTTTATGCAACTTTTCACAAGCTTGACGCACGTTCTTCCCTTTATGGAAGTAAAACAGTAAAATATGGCAAAAATGCACAGTTTGGTCTTCCATCTTCAACTTGTAAAATCTCCAAAACTCAACCAAATCGCTCAATTTTTTTTCAGAATGAAGCTATAACTGTCAGCTGTCAAATGACATAGCAATAACTTAGTTGCGAATGACTCTAGTACTTCCAAAAATGAACTAGTACCATCTGTTGCAAACATGCGTCATGACTTTTCCAAAGACCCAATAATTGACAACTTGTTATATTGTAAAGTTTATGTAACAAAATGTAACCTGTCCCCTTAATTGAATGATAATTTTATGATTTTGGGTAAACATTTATTTGACAAGTAACAGCATTACTCCATGTAAGGCACAGTGAGGAATGGGACACCTTTCCTCAAGTACACGTCATCCACTGGGGAGCATCAAGTTAACAGAAAATAATTGGGCAGGAAGCAGTACTGCAGGAGATGAGGAAAAAAACCACTGGGGCTTGCATGGTTTGGGGGTTGGTTTGTTTTTTAAAGGCATTATTGGGAATTTATCCTGGAGAAGAGTATGGCCTTCGAGAAAGGAGGAAGGTGAGGAGGAAGCACAGAGACCGCTTTCTAAATTAATAGTTACTGGGAGAGGATTAGTGTTCTTTTTCTATGTCATTTCTCTAGTTATTCACAGAACGTAGGTGTTTTTGTTATTAACCTCATGGGAAAACAATTTTCCATCTTAAAATGAGGAAGTTGAATAAAAGTATCAAACTGTAAACTTCTGTTATGCTTCAAAGGCATATAGAACTGGTATTATCTTTAAGCTGCTTGTGGTATATTTGTAAAACTTGGTCTTAATGCCATCATTCTATTTTAGGTTTACTCCTGATTTCACAGCTTCTAGAGTTATTCGTGAACTGAAGTTTATAACAGCTAGTGGCTCTGAATTTGTATTTGTATTGAATGCATCCCTTCCATACCATATGTTAGCAACCTGTGCAGAAGCCCTACCCAGACCCAACTGGGAGCTGGCTCTATACATCATCATCTCAGGAATAATGAGGTACTGGTCTTCTTTCAGGGTTGGTGTTCAATACCTGGCACTGTCCATCAAGCGTCCACTGTGTGCCAGTCACTATTCAGAGTGCTGAGAACCTGCTCACGCACAGACAGGCCTCTCCGCATTAGGCTTAGGTGTCTGCTCCGCAGCTAGTGGGAGTAGTCAGAACCAAACCCTCTTTGGTGGCACATATGATAAAAGTCTTGTCTACCTTTGGAGTTTGTTATACAAATTAAGTACATGTTAATTTCTTTAAGGAAAAAACAGTCTCCTAATTTACCAGGTAGAGTTACGTGATTTATTGAAAATAATAGTATATTCTTTATGAAACTGACCTAAGCAATAGAAAACTGATTAGAAATAGTTTTCAAATCCTCTATGTCCTTATCTTTTTTCCAGTATATTTCTTTATGTGTTTTGAGAATCAGACATTTAGAATCACTTCTGAATTAATTTACGTAGTTACCCCACACATCCTTTAAGGAAAAGAGTTGGCCTAGAGATGAAACTGAAAGAAAAGATAAAAGCTTCCTCTTGGTAAAAGGAGAAGTACCCTCCAGTGTCTGCTCTGATACAAATCATTGTTTCCTTCCTACGAGCATCCATATAAATTGGCAAACTTTTATCCGTAGTGCTTTGTCTTGGCCGTTAAAACTGTCACAGGCATCTTTGGTTTTTACATCGTATTGTACTTTGCCAAGTTCCTCTGCTTTAATATCAAATTTGGTTCCTCGTGCGCCAGTGTGTGAACCCAACCCCCTATCCCCACAGCGCCCTGTTTCTCTTGGTCATCGGAACAGCCTACTTAGAAGCTCAAGGAATCTGGGAGCCATTTCGCAGGCGGCTGTCCTTTGAGGCCTCAAACCCGCCCTTTGATGTAGGAAGACCATTTGATCTCAGGAGAATCGTTGGTATTTCGTCTGAAGGAAAGTATGTTCACAGGCTGGAAATAAATTTTATAGTACATATAGATTTGGCTGATGTAATTAAAAGAAAAAATTAAGTTTCTTTTCATCTTTGCTTGGAGGGAATGTCTTAATTCTGATTACTTAATAATACCCTGCATGTGGCCCTCAGTTACTAAGAACTCACAGTGGATACCATGTTTTTATACTACACTGGTGAGGGTTGAAAGATCCTTAGCTCCATTGCTGACTCGATTCCTAAATTTTCAGGTAGAACAGACCATATAGAGTTGTGAAAAGCATCCCTATTCTTTGCTGTTTTTCCTCACAGCATTTATATTTGTGGTGGCTGTACCGATGAAATAAGTATTTTTTTATCTTAGATTCTGTAGGTTGCTATTTACTGACTGCAAGTGGTCCTTTTTCAGCTTGAACACACTCAGCTGTGACTCCAGTCACAGTCGGGGGTTCTGTGGAGCAGGCGGCTCGTCATCCCGACCCAGTGCAGGGAATCACAAGCAGTGTGGCCCATCAGTCCACCCGCACGGCAGTCACAGCAATAGAAACTCAGCTGACGTGGACAACGTCAGAGCCAAAAACAGCTCTAGTACCTCTAGCAGGACTTCTGCACAGTCTGCTAGCAAAACCAGCACCCTTGCCCTAGACTCAAATGCAGTGGCCCAGGCTCATACAGCTGGCAGAAAGTCCAGAGGGCCGAAACAGAGCCAGCACGGCAGCCAGCAGCATGTCCACAGCGCACTGGAGCAGCACACTCCCCCATCACCAGCACCACCAGTGCCTCAGCACCCAGAGCCACAGCCAGGAAGGCTGTCCCCCGCCCCTGTCACCCTCCCTTCCCACCCAGAATGTGCCAGCAACACAAGGCACAGCTCAGAAGATTCCGACATCACCAGTCTCATAGAAGCCATGGACAAAGACTTCGACCACCATGACTCCCCAGCCCTAGACGTGTTTACAGAGCAGCCACCATCACCGCTGTCTAAAAGCAAAGGTAAGCCTCTGCTGTCACTGGGAACAGCATGGCAAGTGACCCCGGGGAAGGCCAGTGCGTGTGTGAGGAGTGTGGTGGCCAGAGTTGTGGTACACACGCGACTGACTCAGTAGGTGTGCATTTTCCATGTCAAAATGCAAATAGAGGTGTTCTTGTGTCATAAGAGATAGTTACGCTTCTTAGATTACTGACCAAATTCAGAAAATTTTTAGACGTCTGCTGTTTTTCTTTCAGCCTCATGTGATTATTGTGTTCTTGTGATAGGTTGAGCTTTTTTTTTAGTTAAAATAATTTTTAATATGGTAAAATGCAGATCACTGTAACTCAAACATAGGATTCTTGCACAACCTGTGCTTTAGAGCAGGTGTTGGCAAACTATAGCCTGCAGGCCACATCACCACCTGTTTTTGTAAATGAAGTTTTATTGGAACATAGCCACATCCATTCTTTTGCATACTGTCTGTGGCTGCTTTCATACGACAACAGCAGAATTGAGTAGCTGTGGCAGAGACTATAAGGCCCAACAAACCTGAAAATATTTACTTCTTAGCCCTATACAGAAAAAGTTTGCCGACCCCTGCTTTAGAGTTCTGCGTACTCTGTTAGATAGCAAACGAATTTCTCTGTGATGATGACTGTCTCACAGTGTCTGTGGGTCAACCATCTGGGTGCAGTCTAGCTGGGTCCTGTGACTCTCACAAGTCTGCAGTCCAGGTGCTGGCCAGGCCTGAAGTCATCTTAAGAGTCAGCTATAGGTGGACCTGCTTCGAGCTTGCTCAGGTGGTTGATGGCAGGATCTGTTCTTCATGGCCTGCTGGACAGAGGGTCTCAGTTCCTTGCTGGCTGGGCCAGTAGCCTGTTGTGGATCCTTTCCATAGGGCCACTTAAAGCAGCTGACTTCCCCAGAGCAAGCAGCAGGCAAGAGAGAAAACAAGCTAGCAGGCCAGAAGTCAGTCTTCTGTGACCTAATCTTGGAAGTGACATCCCATCAGTTCTGCAGCATTGTGCTCATTAGAACTGTGGTCCAGCCCACAGCCCAGGAGTCAGAATTCTGTAAGGTGGGCTCGTTGCAAGCCATCTTAGAAGCCTGTGTACCACATACATACACAGGGAGGCTGATGGGTGATTCCCAGGATCAATTGTGAAAAGCAGTAAAGGGCCTCTAGCTGTATTTCCATTTAACCCTGTACAGCCTGAACTTGTCTGCATCTTCCTTCCTCCGCTGTGGCAGCCATGCCAGTGCACATTTCCAAGCCTATTTGATGAAGTACCTTCCTCACTGGTGTTCCAGGGAGGTTTGCCTCTGGTTTACATAGGGAACTTGGCAGCCACAAGCAGCCTGACGTCCCAGGGCCCAGGAGTTTGCTTTCAGAGGATCTTTTAGTCCCGGTGATGTGAAGATGATTACATGGAGGCCTCTTAGAAGTACAGGCATTTGGATTTGTAAAACAGTAACATCTTCAATATTATTTAACTTCTTCCACAGAAATCTGTTTCTTATTATCAATAGAACGTACACATTTTACGGTAATTTTTATAGTAATGTTAACTTAATGCTTAAAGTTTTTTTAAGCACCCTGTTTCCTAATGTGTTTTTCCCATCTTGTGGGAATGAAGAAAGTAAACGGGTATTATCCCTTCTTATCACAAAGACAGAGCTTGGTGGTCCAGTGGAGCCCCTCCTTGCCTGTGTCTCAGACAGTCATCTAACACCAGGATGACAAGTCCGTTTTTATTTTCAGGGCCATTCATTCAGAACGTAAATTTTAAAGTTAAAGACTGGTGTTTGATTTTTACAGTGGTCCCAGAATCGACCTACTGAGAGATTTTATGATGGCGCTTGGGGCCGCATAGCCATTTCTGCGTCCACTTGGCTGTTGACCACAGGCTGCACAGCAGTGGCCACTCACGTGTTGCCCTTCCCACCACTGCTGTTCCAAAAGAACAAAGGGGCCAGGTCTTTACTTTTTTCCTTCAATAAGTGCTTTTATTGAAGCATAACATCTTTTAAGAGAACTTTAAAAGGTGGACGCTGATCTTAGGGTCACAGGAGAATAAGTGGTATGTCACAAAACTGCAGGCTCAGCCAGGCAAAACCTTTCTAATCGCGCTAAAGCTTACCCGGCCCCCCAGCGCCCCGCAGCATCGTCGTGTTTACATCAGACATGAGCCTTCTCAGAAGGACCCTGGTCTCCCTCCCCTGCCCCAAGTCTTCCTTGTGATGAGCTCCCATCACTTCTGGCTTTGGGAGACTGTTCAGAATGACCACTCTTCAAATGGATGTGATAACCTGAGATCTCGCCCTCTCTGGGTGGGTGGCTTGCCGGCCATCCAACCATTTGTCAGCTCTTTCCTCCAGTCACTGGAAAGTGGCATCCAGATGTGCCCTCTGTCCTTGGCTGGCCTGAACAGGTCCTCATACAGCTGGGCACACTTTAGATTCTGCACGTTTGTGGTTTCTGCCCCTGGCATGTAAGTCCTGGGGACTGACAGAGGCCGTGACTTGATCGAGGGTTGCAGCCTGAGGAAGCTCTGACACTGGGACAGTCACTTCTCCTATCCGCACTAACTGAGGAGACGGTGGCATCTACAGTAGTTGTCGTTTCTGGCTTTGGCCATCTGTAGGGCGGCTTTATCTAGAGTGGGAGAAGCGGAGTGGTGTGGAGTCATTAGGCAGACCCAGATCAAATCCTGCTCTGCCACTTGCTGAGTGACTTTGGAGAAAATGCCTTTTCTGAGCCTTCCTTGGTCATCTTTTTTGTAGCACAGAGGATGGCTGCTGCTGCTTGCTGTGACTGTCATTAGTGCAGGAGATGGCACATCCCAGCCTTAGCCTGCTGAATTGAAGGTGGCTATAGAACTTCCCAGCAGAGATGTCTGCTTGGAACTTGGTCTTGGGGGTAAGAAATGGGACACACAGAGGGCTAAAGACCGATCTGTGGCAAGGCCGGCAAGAGGCGGCCAGCAGACAGCATGACAGAACGCGGGTGGGCTAGGAGCCTAGGAACCAGGTTACGTGGCTTAGAGAGCACCTGTCACGCCGGACTATCAGCAGCGGTCCCTTCTTAGTGTGCGTGCAGGGAGCCAGTGAGTGGGAGGGGGAGTAGCCTCCCTGTTCTTTAATTTTTAACAAGAAAAAGGGATGTATACGTTGTGGTAGCATTTTTAGTGGGAAAAGTGGTGACCATAGTATTTGAGAATATCTACGGGCCAAGGACAAAAAGCCAGTAGAGCTGAGCGACGGTGCTGGTTAGCACCCACCGATGTCGCAGACGGGGCTGCACACGCCGCTTGCACCTCTGTAGCTGGCACTGCTGTGACCCTGGGTGTCCCTTGAGAGACCCCAGCCTATAAGAGTTACATCGGGCAGGTATGGGTGCCAAGCCCGGGCTGAATTTATGTTACCCCTCAGCTTATAACCACTCACACTGCCTCCAAAAAGAGGAAAAGCAAACAAGGAAATAACTGGTAAAACCAGGTGCCCAAGGCGGTGGGGTAGGTGAGACCCAGTTGAGTAGATGACAGAAGGGACACAGTCCCCAGGTACCCGGGTGCAGATGAATTGGTAGAGGAAAGGAGATGGCACAGGGAGTTGGGGGGCTTTTGTTTGAACTGAAACAACAGCTGCTGAGACTTGAAGGGAGAGATGGTAAAGCAGAGACAGAAAACAGGTAAAGAATGGAGTAGCCAAATCCCAAACAGCTGTTTCTGTAGACTAGGGTCCGCGAGACCAGGGGCAACACTGGGAGCCCAGCTGAGGGCAACTGAGGGTCATCTCATGCCATGTCATTTCTCTCCATGTACTCTGCAACCCAAGGGCAGTCAGATGAAGACAGTGCTGGGCTCTGCAGGATGGGCTGCAGCGAGATGTGGGGTGAGAACGGCATGGGGGCATTGGCAGGAGTGATGGGCGTGTGGGTTGTGTGGGATCACCAAGATGAGGGGGAACCTTAAGCCAGAAGGAAGGAGCCTCACAGACAGAGAACCGAGGCCAAGTCAAGGGACAGGAGAGCCATCGGGCAAGGTGCAGGGCCGATGGGGGCATCTAATGGTGTTTCGGGCAGGTGAGGAGAGAAACACCCTCACCCCACATGAAATTGTAGTGACTTTGCTTTTCAATATCCATGACATTTTACTTCTACAATAAACAAGTCCCAAATGTAACAGTGTAATTGTGGAAACACTAAATAATTGAACTCTTGGCTCTGAAGTGTTGATTATGTGGCATTTTTTCCTAGGCCTATGTACCTTACTGATGATTCGCCTTATTGCCATGAATAGTATCTAGACACAAGAAAAACTAGAACAAAATAGAGTATGCGTCTCCTTGCAAACTCATTATTAATTCCTTCCCTATTAAAAAAACTCATTATTTAGTAGAAGTAAAACTTTTTCACTTAATAGGAATTCTTTTCTGCCTTCTATTGGGCTGAACAGGTATTTTCGCTATCTAAGCACAGAATTTAATAAGACAAAATAATAAAATAATTGCTATAAAATTTTGAAAACAATATTTTCTTTAGCTTAAAGAACTCCTGAAGAGTTTTTTTCATATGTTTTTTGGTGTGTTTTAGTTGACCATACACATAAGGTATCATTCAGAGCAAGAGGGGAAAATAAATTTACACGACCAGTGTAGATCCCAGTAAATCGTATTGGTCTTTATTTTTTGGCCTCACTGAGGCCTTTTAAGTAGCCAGAAGATGAGGAAGACAGACCCCCACCAGAATTAGTGACGCTCTAGAACCTCCCATCAGGTGTTGTGCCCAGCTTTTTTACATGGCCTCACCTAGGTCCATAGCTGCCAAAGGCCACCCAGGCTCAGAGCAACCATTTGCTGGTAATTGGAACTTTCCTGAAGTAATTGTTTTGGGTAGAAATTAAATGAAATGATTTAGAGTGGGAGAGAGACAACCAAAGCAACTTGCCCAAACTAGTGATTACAAATTCATTTATACACCACTTAGTGATGACAAGAAAAAGTAAATGAGTGAGAGATGCTTTTTAAATTTATAATTCATACTTTGCCTACTTTTAAAATGATTAGAAGTGGTTTAAATTATTAAAGAACATATGAGACAGTGAGTAAAGGAGAAAAAGTAGTTTTTGATGTTGTATCTGTTTCTAATTATGGTACTATCTCAACAGAAACCTGGAATAAGGTTAGTTGTTACCATTAAGTGTTAAATTGAGCTGCAGATTCCCAGGCAGTTAAGCCCAAAGGAAAGCACTGTTACAGTTCTTGTGCAGGACAAGGCAGCCCGGAGCTCATCTGAAAAGGCAGGCTTTGCTGCCCTTGAATTATGTTTGAATGAAGGACCATGGCTAACAATGGGCATTGTGTCTGTGACAGAGAATGCAGAAGTGTTCTCCACACAGATGTTTTACATTGGCCCTGGCTATTAATCGTCACCCCTCATCTGGGCGGCCTCTGAGGTGTGCCCACAGTCTCACCCACACAGAATCCGTAGTGACTCAGGTCACATTCGGGTTATCTGGTAAGGGTCCAAGCATCACTGTCATTGGGGATGCGAGACCCTTACGGCGCGCACTGGTGATACTCAGTTGTAAATACTCTGCAGCCTGCGTTATGTTCTTGGGCACACTGAGTCCGCCCCAAGGTGCCCTGTAAGTTGGGACAAGTGGTTTCTGTCAGTAGTTTTAAATCCACGAATTGCTTATTTAGGCTTTAAGGCAATGAAGACACTGTTGCATTCTGCCTATTTCTCAGAGCAGGCATAGCAGCCCCCACCTGGACACCTGACTCTGGATGCCAAGACAGCAGCTGTGGAAAGTACCCCCTCTTCAAGTTGGGTAGGGTTGTTGAATATTGGCCGTTTGAGTCCTGACACGATTGTCAGATGTGAGCAGTATGAGTGGGTTTTGGTGCCTGCTTTCTACCATGCTCACCTTTTTCCTCCCAGGTCTCCTGCCACAGAAGCATACCCAAGGAGCAGTCAGTACCACTTGCCTTAGTCACCAGTCAGGCACCCATAAGCTCTCCACCACCTACCTGCCCGTGGTGCAGCTCAGGTGCTGACAGTCCCAGTGAGGCTTCATGCTTCCCTCTAATCAGAATTTGTGTACTTGGGGACAGAAAGAGAGAGCATGAGATGGAGGGTTGGGGCTTCAGAAGGCACCCCAGGTTTGCTTTTCCAGCAAGCCCTATGAATGGATGAGAATGGCCAACTTTTGGGGGAAATGCACTCACAGGGATTCCAGGCCTCTTCTTACCCACTGGAGTCAGAACATGAAGACAAGGGCAAGAGAACTCGTCATGTAGGCACTGGCCAACCGCATGTCACAGGCTGTCCTAGCAGATTATAATAGTCATGTCTTTAGCAGGCGTATCTTTAATGTGCTGTGATAGATGGGTTTACACCAAGTTCATTGTTGGTGATTAGCAATGAACCTGTCAGATGACAATTCTCTCTTCAGTTTAGGCATGCAAACTATATATTTCTAAAAGCATCAGTAGCCTAGGATCCATGGATTACATATAGAAAATAATTCTCAGTGCTAGTTATGTTAAAAAGAAGTTTGTATATTCATAGATTGTGGAAAGCAACAAGTTTTCTGAAGCATGTCAGAAGCTATAAAAATAAAATAATGCACACATGCTTTGAACCAGTGAGGTCGTATCTGGACATTTACTATCAGGAATAATCTCACATTCATCATGTTTTAGGATAATGAGTAATGGGAACTGCCCAAATGTCCTAAGAATGGGATTTGTAGTTACAGTATGTTGACTCAGTGCAGCATATCATGAAATAATTGTGCCTGGAGTGTCGATCTGTGCCGGGAGAATCTGCCAGGTTGTTGTCCACTTCCGTACACCGTGCCCTGTACCCTTAGTGAGTAAGTGGGCTCTGGTAGTGGTCACCTGTGAGGCGGACATTTGTAAACCTCCTCTCTTTCTCAGGATGGTAGAATGAGAGATCCAGTCCTGGGCATGCTGGGAGGAAAGCTGGAATAGAGCTTGGGAGTGTGGCTTTCAGGCCAAATGGACCTATTATTTGCAGGAGAAAAAGTGTTTAGCTTTTTTAGAATTAACAACACTTGATGGTTCTAAGGATAAATGTGCTTGGCGAGGGTCAGTACACACCCCATGAACAAGCCACAGCTGGGTCACCGTGAGCTCTTGGGGACTTTTTGCTTTTAAATGTAAATGAGAGATGCATTATTTATATATATATATATAT